CTCCCAGGGTGGGCCTCGGACGGACCTCAGCCCGCGTGCGAGCTGCTGCTTACCCTGGAGGAGGGAGGCTTGCGCACAGAAACTCGGAGTAAGCGTTGAGAAGCTTTACTCTGGGCTGGAGTGCAGTGGCACGCTCACGCACACCACGGGCTCCCCCCTGGGCTCCACCTCCTGGGCTCAGGTGATCATTCTTCCGCCTCAGCCTTCCAAGTAGCTGGAACTACTGGCGCGGCGCGCCACGGTGATGCCCAGCTACTGTTTTGAGTTATTGTAGAGACGAGGTCTCGCCAGGTTGCCCGGGCCGGTCTCAAACACCTAGGCTCTGGCAGTCCTCTCACCTCCGCCTCCCAAAGTGCTGGGATTACAAGCGTGAGCCATCGCGCCTGGCTAGCACTGAAAAGTTTTAAACATTGGGACAGAGTACTTTTAGATCTGTTGTCTCTAAGACAAAATAGGGGCTTTTAAAATCAAGATCTTGTCTTTTAAAAATCAAGTTTATTGACTTATAATTTACATGAAACGAAACACATTATCAGGATACAGTTGGATGATATTTGACAGATATTTGTGCCCACGACCACAATTAAGACACGGAAAATTCCCTGACCCCAAAACTCTCCCCCCCACCCCTTTGCAGTCAGTTACTTCCCCCTCACCAGCCCCAGGCAACCACTGATCTGTCACTATAGATTAGTTTTGCCTGTTCTAGAATTTCATGTAAATGGCATCGTGCACTGTAGTCTTTTGTGTCTTCTTTTGCTCAGCGTGCTGTTTTTTTCTGGTTCATCCGTGTCTTTGTGTGTATCAATGGTTTGTTTCTTTTTATCCCATTGTATGGCTATGCCACAACTTGTTTATTCATTCACCTCTTGGTGGACATTTGGGTTATCTCCAGACTGGGGCTATTATGAAAAAGCATTCCTCTACAAGTCTTGTGAATACGCACTTTCATTTCTCTTGGATAAATATCTAGTGGTGGCTGCCATGCGGTTTTCCACAACATGTGTACCCTTTTATGTTCCCAGCAATATGTGATGGCTCAGTTCTGTGTTTTTGCTAACATTTGGCATTGCCAGGCTTTTTAATGGTAGTCATGCTAATGGTTATGAAGTCATATCTCACTGTGATTGTGATTTTATTGTACTTACTGAATTGTAAAAGCTCTTTATATACTCTGGAGACAAGTCCTTGTCAGATAAATGTATTGCAAATATGTCCTCCCAGTCTTTGGCTTGACTTTTTATTTTCTTTGTGGTGTATTTTGAAGAGCAGAGGTTTAAAAAATTTGTTGAATTTTATGCTTGTCGAATCTAATATAAAATATGGGCCTGTATGTTGTATATCTTTTTAAAAAATTAAACTTCCAATTTTGAGGTATTTTTAGATTCAGATACAATTGTAAGAAATAATTAGCGTATTCTTTACCTTGTTTCCATGAAAACATCTTGTAAAACTCTAACATGACAGCAAGAGCGAGATATTAGTATGTGTACAGTCAAGAGCCAGAATGTTTTCATCTGCACAAGAATCCCTCTCTTCCCTTTCTTTTTCTTTTTTCTTTTCTTTCTTTTTTTTTTTTGAGTTGGAGTCTCACTCTGTCACCCAGGCTGGAGTGCAGTGGCACACTCATGGCCACCGCAGCCTCGACCTTCTGGGCTCAGGTGATTCTTCTGCCTCAGCCTTTGCCTTTCAAGTAGCTGGAAACACAGGCATGGGCCACCACACCTGGCTAATTTTTTTAAAAAGTTTATTGTAGAGATGAGCTCTCATCGTGTTGTTCAAGCTGGTCTCGAACCCCTGAGCTCAGGCAATCCTCTTGCCTCTGCCTCCCAAAATGCTGGGATTACAGGTGTGTGTCACCACACCTGGCTTCTCTTCCCTTTCTCAACCATACCCATTTGCTTACCAGTTCCCCTTGTTAATCCCTGGCACTCACCAATCTGTTCTCCATTTCTGTAATTTTGTCATTACAAGAACATTATATAAATGAAATCATATGTCAGCTTTTGGGATTCTTTTTCTCAGTGTAATTCTCCGTAGAGTCACTGAAGTTGTTACAAGTATCTATAGCTGTTTCTTTTTGTTGCAGAGTAGTAGCTTCATGGATGGATATGGTACAATGTGTTTAACCAGTCACTTGTTGAAGGACATCTGGGTTGTTTCCAGTTTGGGGCTATTATGAATAAACCTGCTACAAAGATTTGTTTCTAGGTGTTTGTGTGAATGTAAGTTGTTTTTTTGTTTGTTTGTTTGTTTGTTTTGAGTTGGAGTCTCACTTGGTCGCCCAGACTG